AAGGAGCCCAAGTATTTCATAGGATGGTTCCTGAATCCTGCCAGCAGGCTACCCTGATGCAGAATTTAAGACAACTTTGGACCACCACACTCAGGCTTCAGTTGCTTAATCAAAGTCCTGGAGTTCGGGCTATGTAAGCAAATACAACAGGAGATCTTCAGACAGAAAGCTGACCAGGAGATTGGGAAAGAACATCATTGTATTGATCAAGCCCAGCAGATTCACAATATCCTGTTCAAAAAGGAAGGCTGATTTTAAAACAATTGTTTTGATCCGGTTATGTATTTTCAACCTCTATTAGATGCTGTCATGTTTTCTCTTTAGTTTTCCTTTCTAGTTTTTCTAACGCTCATTTACAAACTATAGATACTGGTGGTTTAGTCTACTTTCTCCTCCTATTCTTAACTCTTCTACCCTAATTCCTTCATCACAATAATTCTACTATATTCCTACACAGTGCCTACAGCCTTCACATGCCACTTCTTTTGTCTGTATCTTCTTTCTGTCCTACTGCCTCTCTTGTCCCACTTATTGTCATGATTTTTAACACCTATGCAAAGAAGTTTTTTCTTCTCTTAGAGTACCATTTAAAAACATGTTTCCTGGGCTGGGAAGGTGACTCAGTGGTGCAGTGCTTGCTTTGCATGCATGAGGCCCTGGGTTCGATTCCTCAGCACCACATAAGCAGAAAAGCTGGAAGTGGCGCTGTGGCTCAAGTGCTAGCCTTTAGCTGAAGAACTGTGGGACAGTGCCCAGACCCAGAGTTCAGGCCACACAGCTGACAAAAACAAACAACAAAACAAACAAACAAACATGGTTCCCTTCATATAGGGCAAAATTGGTTGTGAGTAATGTTACCAATGGTATTTTATTTAATGTCCAGATGCAGTTTAGAACCTAGTTGATGAATTCGTTATTTATAGCCCCAGACATCAACTCTCCCTCTATGCTGTCCTGCCTGACAGAAAGAATAATTCAACTCAAAGACATCAGGTGAATAAAATCCTCCACCAATGAATTGTCTAGGAGCAAATCTCAAGGTAGAAACATAAAATATGAAAACAAGGCTACAAGATATCTCAAACCCTCACCAATCATATTACAAAGACTCTGAAAAGTAATTAAGGAAATAAAATCTCAAATTTTATCTCAAAAGAATGGTATTTGAGTGACTGAGATGAAAGGAGACATGAGTAAATACCTCAATGAAATCAAAGAATGCAAACATGCTAAATAAGTTCAAAGACAATACAAATAAGCCACTAAATGAACTGAAAATTGGAAAATAACAAAGAACTGAATTAATTAAGACAGACAGTAAAAGACATGAAAGGGGAGCTTGATATAGATGTAGAAATCTGAAAGTAAATTAAAATGAAGCTCTGAAAATCAACGTTCCTTAAGTCAAATAAAAAAATCCAGTTGAAAATGAGTTCAATGATTTGAATCAAAGGAAAGACAAAATATCAGGGCTTGAAAACGAAGTAGATGTAAGAGAAAGATGAGATGAAGACAAACAAGAAAGAATGAGACATTTTAATGATATATACAATAATTCTGAATGCCATAAAAAGTCCAAACCTACAATTCATGATCATTAAAGAACACACAATACATACAATAATATGGTTGGTAGCTCTTTGATGACCATAGGTGTAAAGGTTCTCAACAAAATACTCACAAACCAAAGTCAACAACAAGCTAAGAAGAGCAGGAGCCATGATCAGTTTGGTTCCATTCTAGGTAGTCATTTACTTCAACATACATTTGTCAATAAATACAATTCATAACATAAAAGGAACCAAAGACGAGAGTCACATGATCATCACTACTAAATTTTACAAAATTTAGCATCCTTTATAACAGATCCTAAAAAAATAGTAGAGGAAATGTATTTCAATATAGTAAAGGCTAGACAATCACAAGCTTGTAGCCACATCTTATTAAATATGGGAAAACTTGGAATCTACAGTCCGGATCAAGACAAGGGGTTTGACGCTGACCATTCTGATGAACTATAGTACTGATACAGAGTTTGTTGTCATTTAAGAGTTCATCTCATCCTGGTCAGTATGACAATTACAGAAACATATACTAATAGTAATAGCCATATGTAAAACGGCATGAGGTTCCCTCAAAAGATTAAATGCAGGTCTAGTTTATTACCTCACCATATCAATTTAGGTTGTATACCTGAATGAGTGTAAGTAAATATGTAAGAATGACACCCGCATATCCATGTTTATTGTAGTCCTGTTCAGAACAGCTAAACTGGAATCGTACTGACCTAGAATTCTACCACAGAACATTACTTAAATACAAAAAAAGTGAAATTATGTAATTTTAAGGGAAATGGATGGAACTAAAGTTCTTGTTGAGCAATATAAACCAAGCTTAAAAAAATCAAATACAACACGGTGTCTTAGTATGACTGTTGGAAATGAACTTTAAAACTTGAGGAGGTAGAGGGGTCGAGAGGAGAAAAAGGGGGAGAAAATGAGGGAGGAGTTAACACTGTTGAAGAAGAGATGTACTCACGACCCGATTTATGTAACTGTAACCTCTCTGTACACCACCTTTATGATAAAATTTAACTTAGAAAAATCAAGTGCAACAGCTTGACCTACAATGATGATGGTAATCACAATCATAACCGTGATGCCCACATAAAAACAGAAGACTAGTAAGACAGAACAATGGCAGGGTAGAGGGGAAAAAGGAAAGGATACTGAGGTGTGAAGGCTATTGAAGGATGTTACATATACATAGGTAAATATGTATTCAGAAAGAGGGAGAAACAGAAAATAGTGAGGCTGAAAGCCATCCCCAAAACAATGAAGATGGAAACAGGGCCAAGGCAGGAATGAGAACAAAATGGGCAGTGTGGGCTGATTGAAGGTACACGCTATGCATGTATGGAATTATCACAATGGAATGTGTGGTATTATGAACACATGCTCATTCAAAAATAAAATAAACATTTAAAGGCCATATATTTCTACGTCAAATGAAGTAGCTTCAGGTCTGCTAATCTCCTTTACTTCTTCCCAAAATAAATTCTTTATTAGTCTGAATGTTGAGATTCTGTAGTTCCTTGGAATACTTTTGAATAATAGTTTGGTGCCTCAATTTTTTTGTATTAGATATAGGTGTAATATAGTAGTTCAGCCTTAAAGGGAAAACTGTTAAAAAAGAAAAGCAAACAATGTATCACTCAAAAATGTTTATAAGCTTTCACAATCATTTTTTAACACAGAAGTCTGTTTATTAAACCAAACAAAAACAGAGAAAATTATACCAGCCCTCAATTTTTGAATTTTCTTTTAAATAAGCAAACTCTAAATTCACATCTTAAAAGATGTTTGTGCGTCTGTGTATTTCCAAAATACTCATATTTCAATAAGATTTTCACATTATATTCACCAACAGTATCACAAAAGTTGTGGGGGGTTTTCTTGTTTACATAACTGTAAGGAACAGTAATTCTAGAGCCACTAGAAGTAGAAAGCATAGCAATGTCCACAGTTACAAGAAAAAGTGCACATTACTTGGTCACAATCACAGTCATTACTTGAAAAACTATATTTAACAAGTAGGTAAGAAATATCACTGATGCCTTCAACTCATGGTCAAAAACCGAATGACATAAATTTTACATGAAATAAGGCAAACTCAGGAATTCACAAAGAATTTGTAATCCAATCAAAACTAAACAACAGAAAAAGAAAATTGTACCAGAAGCATGAACTAAGGTACTTCTTCCTAAATACTTGAAAAGTAGACTTGCTTCAGTGCACAAAGAAAACACCACTCATGGGTAGCTAAGACTAGGAAAAGAAGAAGGAAGGGCCAAAGTATGTTCAGTAGGAGGGAACAGTTCTTTGTAAGTTGCAGCTGCACCCTCTGAGGAGTTCTTTATTTTTAGCTAAGACTGTAAATTATACAAATCATATCAGGAGGCATGACGGTCTTTTTTGGAACGTATTTTCTGAAAGAGAGAAATGAAAAGAAAACTACACACAAGAGTGCAAAATTTCAGATTGTCACTTGCAACCTCTTAACACATTCAGTCATCTATATCCAATTGCTGCTCCAGGCCTTCTTGTCAGACAGCAGGGAAATACAGGAATGAGCAGCTCCAAGGAAACCAAGGTGTGATCCTTTTCCAACACATCTTTTTTTAATGTTTAAGAAATTCTGTGATGAAAACTGCTAGGGTAAGGTTGCAGTGTGGAGTGGGTGTTTTGAGATCAGCGTTAAGTGCAGAATTGCAGGCCTCTCTTGCAAGTAGTTCCTGATGTGATGATTTACAGAACGTAGGAAAGGGATTTTCCAGCATCAACTGTTATTAATTTTTTTTTGTAGAAAGAATTTGGAAAGAGGAGAAGGCAAAAGGGATGTGGAAAAGGTACTTAACAATAGTTTCTCAAAACAGTTCTCTTTTAGGATCTATGAAAAAGTTACCAAAGTAAAAATGACAATTCTGAATGCAAAACAAGTTTTCTTTTATAAAAATTACTTATTTTTTTAAAATACAAGATCCTTTTCATTGTTGTTATATCCTGTAGCAACAAGAAATTTGGCTTTTTTTTTTTTTTTTTGCCAGATACTTCAGCTTTCAGTCCATTGAGTCAATAGCAGATTCCACTAATATTTCATTGCACTTGGACCTTGAACTTTTTTTTTACACCACAAGCTTCTCTTCTGTTTTATCCTTGAATTAAGAAATGTAGCCTGTTTTGCCCATGATATTTATGCTGACACATTAAAATGAAAAGCAATAGGCTGGACACGTTTAAATATCACAAGTACTTCAGAGGTCAGAGTTCCTTTGAAGCACCTTAACACATCACTTTATGTACCAAGGACAATGTGGCATAATGGAAGTATTTCTCTTAAAAGATTGTGCAGCAAGACCGGAAATATCTCTGCTGGGAAATCAAAATGTCATTAGTGGAAACTGCAAATTCAGAACTCAGTGAATATGGTCATCACTTGACTCAGTTCTGTTGTAAAATGAGATTTTCCAGTTCATCTGCAGAACGCAATAAAAATGCAGCCGATTCTCGATATCCTGCCACCAGCTGTCTCACAGCATTGATTTCGGTGGGACTCAGCTGAGGTCTGGAGCTGGAACTGCTGGAGGATCCTGAGCTCGTCGCCAACTGCCTCTTCATGCTGAGATCTGTGGGTCCTAAAGAAAAATAATGACAAAAATCACACACGAGTAACTTTTGTTCTAGGGCCTTGGGTGTGTGGGGGTACTCTGTAAATGGTTGCTGAATTAATTCATGCAGTCTTTCTCAAGAGAGTGATATATATATACATATATATATATATATATATTAATCTTGTACAGATGCTTTTAGAAAGACAAGAGAAATATGCTACTTGAGTAGCTGAGGGAAATTTGTGTCTGGTGACTTGCACAGGTTGGGCAATCACTTGTTATTGTCAAGAATAAAGAAGCTGATGTTAGGTGAAATGAGCCCCAAGATAAGTATTCAAATGTTTTTTTTTCTTTCTTGCGATTGTTTCTAACATATTTATAAGATGATTTCTTTGTTGCTTTGTATGCCCCCCCCCCCAGTATAACTCCTGCTTTCACTGTATTTGATGTGGTATAATTTGGAGAGGGGAAGGGAAAAAACAAATCATTGAAATAGGGATACAGGTGGACCCATTGCAACAATGAGATGTACAAGTCGTTATGTCGAAAAATGAACTTTACAACTTTGGCCGGGGGTTGGGGGGGGGGGAGTTGGGAAAGGATGGGAAGGGGAAACAAAGGAGGAGGCAACAATGCTTGATAAGAAATGTACTCATTGCCTTGCCCATGTAATTGTAACCCCTCTGTACTCTATTTTCACAATAAAAAAAAGAATAAAGAAGGTCTTTGAACGTGTGTTGCTTGGGCAATTATAAAACAGAATTTGGTGGTACTGTGGTGTTGAACTCAGGGTTTTGTGCTTCCGCTGCACGCACTCTAACATATGAGATGCCTCCAGGCCTCTTTGCTTTCATTACTTTTCAAATAGGGTCTCATATATTCATTGGCTGGTCTAGGCTGCAGTCTTCCTATTTATATTTCCTGTTTAGATAGAAGGAGAGGTGTATGCCACTATATCTAGCTATTGATTAACATGGGGCCAGGGAGGAGGGGGTGTCTTATTTTTATGTCTAGGCTAACCTTGAATAGTAATCCTTCCAATCTCCATCTCCTGATTAGCTAGGAGTATAGGTGAGAATCACTGGTGCCTAGCTCATAAAATTTAGTTTTAAGTCTCTTGTGCATATATTACATAAGTTTCTTACAATAAAAAAGGTGGAGATGACAAATATTTTGTTCTTTACTGAACGAGCACATATCATAGATATCATGCATTTGGAATTATAGTAACATCTTAAAATGTGATGCTAACAGCTCTTAAATACAAAGTTAGCTTAGAAAAGAGAAAACTGAGATTGTCAGGCTTGAGCAATGTGTTTAGAAATGCATATTTAAGCAGCACTACAAGGACTTGATTTAGGATTGTTTTAAAATTTTCATATTGATGATCTCTGCAGGCTGATTACAAGTGAAAAATGTGGACATATAATATTACAATTTGCTTTTGAAATGTAATAAGTAAATGGTTGGTGCAAATAAAACTGCACTTAGGATTCTGCTTTACATATTGTTAAAGCTGCTTTAACAGTGTTGAAAATGCATTGATATGCCATAACTTTTTCTTATATGGATAAACAAAACCTGCTAGTACTTTTATAGACAATAGTTTTTCAGGTTTTATTCAAAACAATGAAGTTATTTAAAAATCTTTAAATTTGCATTGAGAAGATGATTCACAACTTAATTACTTTGGGATCATTAAATTGGGATATATGTGTGTGTGTGTGTGTGTGTGTGTGTGTGTGTGTTTTAGTTATTACCTATTATTTAAGCATTTCTTATCATTATTAAATTTTCAGTGATTGCCAAATTTAAAATATTCAATAAAATATTACTAAACACATCAAGTCAAACTTCCAAATTATAATGACCTATAACTTGAATATATTTTAAAAGATTATCTATAAATATTAGCACATCTTTAGATAATAGGATTTACTTTGTGAACTAAAACAAGCTATGTGTTTTCTCTTTTGATTCTCCTTGAGAACAAAGACAGGTCAAGACCCAGCCCACCCCACCTCAACCATGAAGGAGACAGATGTCCCATGAGAGAGAAATAGCTCCATTTAGACTTTAATTAGAGCAGAGACGAGACCTTCACTAGAACTCTGACATCTGAGAGAACAGTCCTTCATACTCTGTAGTGGCGTTTCAAAGCTTTCATTTTTCTAACAGAAGTTAGCTGCCATTTATTCTGCTATTTGCAAAATCACATTATGGAAGCAAACAAGCTGAGAGAAGTATGGGGTTGTTACAATTGCAAAACTCTATTGCTTTGCCTGTTTTTCAAGCAAATTACTCATTAAAATGTTTGAGTAAGGTTTTTGTAAATAATCATGACCTAGAAACAGTTTGATCATTGGGTGAACATAATTTAAATTCTCTTTTATTCTTCTCATTCAAAAAGTTTAGCATTAGTATACCTCTTTTTTATTTGCAGTACTAGAGTTAGAATGAGGGGATTACACTTGCTAGGGAAGCACTCTTCCCCATGAGCCGCATCTCTAGCTCTTTCTTGTTTTAGTTATTTTTTCAGGTAGGGTTTTGGATTTTTGCTTCAGCTGGCCTCAAACTGCACATAGTTGGGATTACAGTTATGAATCATCACACCAACTTATTACTTAAGATCTGGTCCTGCTAACATTTTCCCTGGGTTGGCTTTGAACTATGATTCTCCTAATACCTCCAATGTAGCTGCAATTATAGCAAATCAACAACAACAAAGAAATATCTTATTTAATGAATATGAGTGGAAAGCTCCTTAATAACGTACTTTCCAACCCAATTCAACAACTAATCAAAAAGATCATACACTGTGATTAAACAGTATTTTATCCCAGTTTCGCAAGGTTGGTTCAACATATGTAAATCAATAAATGTAATACAACATACCAACAGAAGTAAAGATAAAAAAAAAATCACTTGCTTAGACAAATCTATCCTTCTATTATGATAAAAGCTCTGGAGACACTAGGAAAGATTGGACATTATCAACATAATAAATGCTGCTTATAACAAACCTAGACCCAGCACCAGAATAAATTGTTAAAATAAAAAATAACTACACAACTTGTGGGTGAGGATAGGAGGGAAAACCTGTGAGAGTTTGAGGGAAAGGGTAACATGGTTCAAAAAGAAATGTACTTATTACCTGACTTATGTAACTGTAACCCCTCTGTATAACACCTCTACAACAGCAAGGTACATTTTTCCCTGGAGTTTTTTATTTTAAATTTTATTGTAAAAGTAATGTACAGTGGGGTTACAGTTACATGAGTCAGATAATGAGTACATTTCCATTTGAACAGTAAAAAATAAAACATTTTCTCTTAAATCAGGAACAAGATAAAGATGTTAAATTTTTCTGCTCCTTTTCAGTGTAATATTGGAATTCCTAGCCACAGCAATAAGGTAAGTGAAATACATACAGGGTGTCTAAAAAGGGAAGGAAGAAGTAAAACTATTAATATCTGCAGATGAGATGATCTTATATTTAAAGAATCCTAAGTGACTCTACCCTTCAATCTCCTAGAGCTGATAAATTACTTAGGCAAAATAGAAAGGTATGAAATCAATCAACATACAGCTTTTTCTGTATGTAAAAATAATGAAAAGATCGAGACTGACATTAGGAAAGCAACCTCATTTGCAATAGTCTCAAAAAAAGAAACAGTACAAACCAATCTAACTAACAGCCTCTACAATTGAAAACTGTAATATTGTGAAGAAAAAGTTGAAGAATAATTTAGCAAGTAGAAAGATTTCCTGTATTCCAGAACTAGTAAAATTAATCCATAAAAATGACAATAACCTGAGGTAACCTATGATTTCAATGAAATAACCATGATCATAAATACCAGTGTCATTTTTTTCAGTGAGAGAAAATATCACTGAAAAACTTGTATAGAATCACAAAAAAACATGAATCACAAAGTTAGTCCTGGGCAAAAGAGTAAGTAGTCTAGAGGCATAACAATTTTAGGTTTAGAATTACTGTAGAGCTATAGTGACAAATACATCTTGGTTCTGCACCAAAATGTAACAGCCGGCCAATAGATGGAAGACCCAGAAATAAAACCTACAGCCATCTAATATTTGATAAAGGAGCTAATAACAGACCTACAGCCATCTAATATTTGATAAGGGAACCAATAAATAGGATGGAGAAAAAGCAGCATCTTCAAAATTTTGTGTTGGGAAAACTATCCATATGCAGATAATTGACAATGAATCCCTGTCTGTCATCCTGAACTAATAGCAATTGAAAATAATTCAAAGACCTCAATGTAAGACCAGAAATCATGAAACTATTACAGGAAGGACTAGGAGAAATATTGAAGTTCTTGGCACAGTCAGGAACTTTCTGAGTAAACTTTCAGAGGATCAGTAAATCAAAGAGAGAGTCAGCAAATGGGATTTCGCAAACTTGGAAGTCTCTCCATGGCATAGGACATAGTTAACAAGCTGAGAAATGGCCTAAAGAATGGGAAAAGATTTTTGCCAGATATACGTCAGACAGTGGCCTAATATCCAGAATATACCAAGAGCTCAAGTAAGCAGGGTTTTTATTTAGGTCTGTAATCCTAGTTACTCAGGAGGCTGAAATCTGAGGATCTCAGTTTGAAGCCAGACTAAGCAGAAAAGGGTATGAGACTCTTATTTCCAATTAACCACCTAAAAACCAGAAGTAGAACTGTGGCACAAAGTGGTAGAGTAATTAAGTCAAAAAAACTCAGGGTTGGGGCTGGGAAGGTGACTCAGTGGTAGAGCGCTTGCCTTGCATGCCAGAGGCCCTGGGTTCAATTCCTCAGCACCACATAACCAGAAAGAAAAAAGCCGGAAGTGGCACTGTGGCTCAAATGGTAGAGCGCTAGCCTTGAGGTGAAGAGCTGAGGGGCAGTGCCCAGGCCCAGAGTTCAGGCCCACCACCGGACCCTAAAAAAAAAAAAAACAAAAAAAACCAAAAAACCTCAGGGACAGCAACCAGACCCTGAGTTCAAATCCCATGACTTAACAAAAAA